GGAAGATCATGGGAATAAAATATTGAAAATGACGGGATATATGACATACCTAATCAACAATCTGATATGGGCCCGTTGTAACATGCTGGGAAAACCCCAAAATCCAGTGATCTATTATTAGTTTCGTGTTTCGTCCGCTCAGTATAATATGGCCATTTGGGGGTATACCCCATTTTGAAATTCATCCACCATGAGTTAATCAATGTTTAGAGTTTAGCGGCAGAGATTTGAGAAAATTGGGATACAAGTGTTCTAAGAAAAACAACTACTTCGTGACAATCCAAAGTTAAAGTGACCAAGTGGGGATGTCAATCATAGGTTATGATACATATATATAATTATATATATAGCAGTAATTTACAGTAATAAGATAAACAAACCGATATCCATGTGATACCAAACCTAGAAACTACTAGTTTGTGGTTGAACCACCCATAAGCCGGGAAATCCCCCTACCAATGGATGGTTAAATATCATAATCAACTATCAATGGTGGATTGCCACGTTTCATTACCGGAGGATGTGTGTTTGTTTGAGGCTCCAGTCATACATTGCGACGCGTTTTGGAATTTCCTTTTCTGCTTGTCACTGCGCATTTGTGTGCAAGTTCCTCCACGCACGTCGCGTGGCAGGCGCCGGGGGGTTGGGTGGGGACTTTCCTTACAGGCAAGACGCTGAAAGAAGTGCTGCTGCATCTATTGAACCATTCTGTTACAAAGAAATGGTACATGTTCTCAAAGAAATCCCTTACCATTCCCCCACCATTCCCCCAATAGTGTCTGTTTTACAATTTATCCGTTTTTGGTCTATCCGGAAAGGTTTGTGGCAAAAGCAAAGATGTTGGAAGGATGTCTCATTGCAGCGGTACACAATGGCTAAAAAAAATTCTTGAATCTAGCCTCTCTGGATTCAAGATTCAACGTGTAAGAATCCTGGGATTCAAGAAGTTGTTTTCTGGATCTTGAACCTTGAATCTTGAATCCTGGGTGGGAAGGATGGGATGGCAACAAAGTGCCACAAAACAAAATGACTCCATTAAAAACACCTTAATTCTTAAGTACGCAAACTACAACAAACAACTGTAAATACCCCTAAGTATAGTGAATGGCACCTATTATTTCCATGGAATCCGAACCACAATCTTTCGGGATTATTGATGTCCTTCAAATGGGATTTTAAGTGATTTTGACCCAAAATGGCCCGGGCCAAGTCAACATGAAGGACCTTGGTCACAAATAAAAAAAAAACGTCGGGCGGTTCTTGGAGGAACCAAACCCTGAGCCAAATTCAACCCAGTTTCACTACTGTCTGGTGAAAATTAAGTGGGAAAGCGGCAATGTTGCATGGGAAGGTCAACTTATCTGTGCAGGAGGTTAAACTTACCTGCACGCTGCTTAAGGGTGACTCCTACACGAGATCAGTGGAACAAATGGCCATCAAACAGCCGGAAGATCCCAGTTGAAAGGTGTGGTGACCCGCCAAAACAAGAACCGTGGCCTTACATTGGCTATGGCTAAGCATCATGTCGCCCCGAAGAAATTAGTCCAAAGCCATCCAAAGCGATTCTTTCTGGGTTAAAATATCCATAAAAAGCGGTCGCGCCCCAGGCTTGTTACTGTCCTAGGGCACCCCGTTCCAAACCAAGGTTTTGAAACCAATTTTTCCGTCTTTGTTTCCAGCGGCCAAATGTTTGAACAAACCCAAGTAAAGCAAACAGGAAGTCAACCGACCTTGATTGTTTGTTGAAAATAAATCTAATGGATCTGTCTATTCCATCGTATAAATATCATGTATACACAGTATATACATGCATACCGTACCCATATCAATAGTTCATTAGTTAAATCTCCTAGTTCATGGTAAAATCCCCACAGGACCACTGAAACCTCGTGACGCGTGCCACGGTGCGATGAGATCTGCGCGCGGCCGCGCGCCGCTCATTTTGATCTCCAGGGTGCAGAGTTCCTCAAAGTCGATGGTGCCATTGCCATCCTTGGCTGGTGGAGCAGTTGGAAATTGGTATATACTTTCACCAGCAAAAATGTGTTTTCTTCACCATTGAAATGGGATGTTATGGGGAGGTCACCGGTCACATCTTCTTTCCCCAAAAGCTGACAGGGATATGTGGGAATGACGTGGACGTGCGGCTCACCCCTTGGACCCCATATTGTTTGGCAAAAAAACGTAGAGGAGATTTTGTCGGATATAAATATACTGCGAAAGAAAACATGAATGAAATATGCAACCTGTCGCAGCTCAACGCACTCTTTGCAGAAGGCAAAAAAACGCATGTACCATGGCCCAAAATTGGGGCCACAGATTTGGAAGCCGGGCTGCCAATTTTAGTATCGTGGCCCCAACTCAATACGGGCAGCAAGTGTGCTACTGCCGCCGCAAGCTGACAGCAGCACAAATCCGTGATACTCCGAGGGTACATGCCGGAGAAGCTTGCTTTACCATTTATTAGAAGCTCCGGTTTTGGGGCCTTGGGCCCACCTAGGCTTTGAGAAAAAGCGCCCCAATGCCTTAATAAGAACCACCAAGACATGAGGTACGAATCGCAATGGCTTGGATGCAAAACTACTAAGGAGTTCATGAAAAACTACTAAGGCGTCAGTTGCAAATTACAATGGCTCGGCCGCAAAACTACTAAGAATGTCCGTCAAAACTGAAGAAAAGAACAAGAATTCTTTTACTCTTTGGAGCATTTTCTTAGTAGTTTTGCGGCCGAGCCAATACGAATCGCGAATCGTCCTTAGTAGCTTTTGAACGCATTCTTAGTAGCTCTGCGGCCAAGCCAATACGACATGCGACACCGTGCTTAGTAGCGTTTGAGCACGTTCTTAATATTTTTGCGGCCCACGTGATGTATGTGGCTACGCTCACGCAAACATGGCCCCGCTCCCCAGGAATCAACGTTGCCACTCACAAAAGCCAGTCTTGCTGCCTTTCCTGCAGAAGTAAGTCAACTTTGATGTCTGGGGGTGCCGGGGGTTGCGCCCAGGGTCCTGTACACTGCCGCTGGCTGTGCGCATGTCTTTGCATTGCTTGTGGCAGTCAAAGTTCAACCTCGCATGCTTGCTGCAGAACAGCATGGGCATCCCTGCACCTTTTGAAACATTCCTTTGGCTTGCGCTGCGACGCGGGCCCATTTTTGGGGCTGCGGGCCTGCATGTTTTTTGCCTTCCTTCACTGCGTACCCTGCATGTATACATATGTATGTATATATATATATATATATATTAATGGGATATGAATAACCAATGGTCTGCCTCAAAATGGTGAATACCCCAAAATGGCAAGTTTGAACGGGGAAAATGATGATAAATCGTGGGATTTAGCGGTACGATGGATTTGTTTTATTGAGCAAACCGAAAGGGGAACTCATTTTTTTTGCATGGTTTTCTGGTTTCAACTTTCCCGTATCGTAAGTGGACCCATATGAAATAACCAAGTTGTATGTAGGATTCTAGGATATCCCCCAGCCATTGGCCTAGATGATTGAGCACTTCCTAATTGGTATGCACCTCAAATTGTCTGAAATTTGTGGGTTTGTTTTCATCCAATTCCAAGGGATCCAAACCGCATGTTTCCGAGGCGATTTTTTGGACCTCGTTTCAGGACAATTGTTTGAAATGTTTGAAATACTGATCTATATGGCTTAAATCCCCAAGGTGAACCTTTTGTTTGGAAGACTTACAATGTTCCAAGACGTGCTAGTGTTGGATTGTCATGCAACATGCGCAGAAAATACAAAGAAAACATGTTGAAACTACAGTGAAACCGTTCCAGTGTACAACAATTTCCCATGTAACCCATATGCAGGATCATACCAAGTAATAAAATCATCTTTGAGATCCCATCGTGTAGAATTCGATGTGAAATGTGGGGTGTAACCTGTTGCAACAGGGTGGGAGGAAGCTTCTGCGAAAAATCTGCGAAGTATCTGGAGATCTGACCTGCCAAATTGGGTTCTTTCTGATTTGAGATCATAAAATGGACAGATCAATGATTCGAGCTGCGGTTTCTGTAGGTGTTTCCGGCCCAGCGGTTTGGAATTAATTACAGGGGCCCAGGATCGGGGTAATGTCAAAACGCGACAAAGACTCGTCATGTTCATGAGCAGATACGGGAATGGCTTAACATCTATGTCCCCAAAAAATGGGATATGGGAATATCATGGAATATCTAACAGTGGATGGTTGAATCCAAAAAAGAAGAAAAAAAATGCTTGGGTCCATGTTGCCCCTCATGTTTGAGCCATAACCATATAGTGCTGGGAACTGGTTGGCGGTGGCTATAGTCATATAGGGCCCCAAAAATAATCACGGACACCTCAGGATTTGTAGCCTTTCTAGCGCTGATTGGGATGGTCACCAAGCAAGTTTCTACAACTGAGGCCCAAACTATTTGTGATTCTCAGGCACTTTCTTCACATGCATGCGATTTCCGCAAGAGAGCTGTTGACCAGCATTTCTAGACCCAGACACCATGTCATATCGCAGATGTTCATAGATGTGGCTGTGGGTCAAAACCCATGGACCATTTTCGGTGAGATGAATATACAGGTGCAGTGCCTATTTGGTGTGAACAGCAGGGTCAAGGGTCATGGATTAAATAAAGCTACTCCTGGGTTGGAATCTTCTTGGATCCCCTAAAAAATCACTGACAGGAATGGGTTGCCTGGCTACCTTCCCAGAGGTACATCACATCATTCCATGATACGGTGAACTGACTCACATCCATATGACTCGCCATATCCCAGAATTGTTGTTTGAAGGGAAAAAAATACAGATAAACCCCATATGTCATGTAAAACACATGGTTTCCAGTCAAGATCTTCCCCAAAAAATCCCACCCTATCCCACGGCCAAAAACGGGTTTCTGCCAAGACGTGTTGGAGCTGAGTCCTGGAGTCCAAATCAGGCGGCCGTGTAATTTTTTGGGGGTTTGGGTGGGGTGGGGTGGGGCAATAACATTCTTCCTTTACGTTTTCACATGACGTTCTTGATTTTACGCTGTGGACCTTTTATAGATCTTGTTCCTACGTTATTTGATAGTACGCTCTTGATGTTCTTACATATCTTGTGACTACGTTCTTGATACTATGTTATGGACGTTCTTAGATATCTTGTTACTATGCTATTGATAGTACGCTCTTGATGTTAATCCATATTTTGCTACTATATACTTTATTTGATTGTAGGCACTTGATGTTCTTACATATCTTGCAGTTTTTTTTGCAGAAACTCCTGTCTTTGTTGACTGCAAAGTGAACAAATGCGACCGGGGGAAAAAAAAAGTTTTTGCCTTTCTCATGATTGAAGATGTTCAAGTGTTAGAAAAACACTGCGAAACGTGATTCAAAATGATAATGCATTAAAGACCACCATTGGAAATCGTCCGAAGCGCAGGGAAAATTTATATACATTGCTAAAATCCTTATAACACAAGAAACCTGCAAATGATCGCAATTAGCCTGGGAAATAGAAGTCTAGAAGGAAGAGATGTTGACAGAGATTCACGCCACCATCACAATCCCACACGGCCGGCTATGGGACGGGAACCTGGGTAGTTTATGTGGGTTTAGTTTATTCCCATCCATAACCCTCTGGTAAATTAACATAGACCCTGGCAGATAGGGTTTGGAAGATTAGTTTTCATTAAAACTACGCTATTTTCAGGGTCTATGTTAATTTACCAGAGGGAAATATGTAAACATGTTGCAAATACCAAGCACATCGATGAGCTGATTGTATAAGGGGCCATCCAATCGGCCATGGCAACATTGGTAACTGATTCGGATTGTATTCCCATCAAAGAACACAGTGGAGGCCATTCTGAAAGCAGACCTGTAACAGAAGACTTGGGTCGCTCAGAAAAGGAAGTAAACCATAAAGAATCCAAGTGTTTACACTGTCGGGAAAGGAGGTACAGGTACAGAGTGGGGCTCTAAAGTTTGGGTACATCTTGCAGTCTCCGTAGAACAGGACGGCACTTTGCTGTCAAAACTGGCAGATTAGTACGAGGATACAGATCCTTCAATTCGGAGTTACGTAGTCTGCACCATCGTCATTGGAAGGACAAATGGGAGGGCTAAATCATCAAGAGCTTCCAAAATCAAGAATCATGATAGCGCTGGCCGCTTGACAACCTACAAGCAGTTTCTCACAACATCCTATACAAAACTGACCAAGGGCTGGATCGGCCACGACATTAGTATAGTGTTGTGCTGGCCACCCCAACTGCACCTTCACTGAGCTGCAGGGACTAATGTCGCAAAGCAGTGACGTAAGATTGCTGGCTTGCTGGCTTGCTGGCCACAGACATGGTGTTTCTATGTGTTTCTCACCGCCAAAACAGTTGCAAACAATTTCCAGTGTGTCAAAACCTTGTACCCCTGGTAAACATCAAAATAGCTGGTAAATGGATGTTCATCCCCCTAAAAATGGTATTAATAGGTATTGATCCATACCCAAATAAGACTCCATCAACCGTCTACTAGACCCAGACCTTTTTGATTAATTATGAACCGGAATCCTTCCCAGAAAAGAACTGGTCGATGGCTGAAAACCCCTCTGAAAAATATTCAGTTGGGATGATGAAATTCCCAATATATATATATATATATGGAAAAATAATCCAAATGTTCCAAACCACCAACCAGAGAAATCATCCACCAACTGGAAAATGTTCCAAACCGGAAAAGGCGTTTAAGCCCTGATCGCAATGGAAAATCTGCCAGCGTCCTGCTCACCTTCTTTCCCAAAGCCTTGAACCTGGGAGACATCGGGAGGTCTCATCACCAAAGCCCCCAAGGTTGAGAAACTGCTGGATAGCATTACATACCATCCATGTACCCAAGCATAAACAATCCCCAAAATCATCATAGATGGGTGGTATAAACCATCCCCAAATGGTTATTATTGGGTTTACCACATTAATATATAGATAACTAGATCAATCTGGTTGAATTCCCGCTGCACACTTCTTAGGCTTTCACTTTCGTCCAGATTCTCGAGTGAACTTCTTAATGCAAACAACAAACCTGCAGTATCCAAAGTTTTACTTCGGCTGCTCAATATCTTCATTTACCGGTGAAATGCGTGATCAAAATCATCATCATCTCTTTCCGGATCCCGGAATTCCCTATTTACCTTCAGCATCTGGTACTATGTGGACAGAAAACTAGAGCATTCCAGAGAAATGCAATCAATGCAACAATTTGCATTTAGATGTTGGAAATTCATGCTGCAATTTCCGACTTTCTGGATTTGCGAGAAGACCCAACGACCCAACCAGTCAGGAGTTGTGCCGATAGCGCCATGCAGCTTGTTTGCGCACCATGATTTGATCGAATCTAATTAATCTTCTTATCTTCGCCCTGCAACAGTTCGCTTAACTTTTGGTATGTCAATGGATTGGTTTAAGGGAAAATCTTAACCGGAAACCAGAGATTTTCCCATTAAATATGGGGCTTTCCTGTAATTTTTCCCTTAAACCAATCCATTGAGTATGGGGTCAAACTCATTACATGGGTCATTAAATGTCCCCATTGAACATCACCCAACCAAAATCGGTATATGGTCTACTAGATGGCTACTTTTTCAGGTGATGTCCAATATACCCAAAATGGGACAGAAAAACCAACCCCTGCATTACCAAAAAGCCCAACGGAAAGGATGGTTTTATAACCAAGACAACAAGCTTTTCGTGGGGCCATTGGCACCGCGCCATGTCTCCCTAACAGCCGTCCCAAGCGACATCTGATAGAGCTCCTGACAGGAAAACTCATTTTTAGATGATGCTCATGATGGATTCAAATTGATTCAAACCTCTATCTTCCCCACAGAATGGCTATTTTAGATTATTTTAGGGGAGTATACCCAATTTTCAGACAGCCGAATGGTTAGAAATGGTTGGGGATGAGGATGAGGATGGTGGTGGTGATGGAAACGCTGATGTTAATGACAATTTCTACGATGTGGAAAAAATGCAACGTGTGTTGCCAATGACAGGCAGGGCTGTGTTCCCATTTGCCTTTTAGATCTCCAAGTCAGAAACATGGCTATGGGGTTATGGCCCAGTTCAGTTGTTCAAACCCATAGTTATTGGACTCTGTGTTTAAGTTTTTTTTGGCATTTTTATGCTAAACTGCAGAATTTTCTTTGGTGAGTTGACCATCAAAGTTGTTTAATGATGTTTCATGTGTTAAACTCAAACGCGTACCTTTTTGATTTCGAGTTGTTCAGGGGTTGGTAAATGGCCTATTTTTCCACATAGCCCAGCAAAACAAATATATAACTCATATAATCCAAAAAACAGGACATTTACCAACCCCTGCTGTTTTCCAATCCAAATTCTGATCAAAGGACTTGTCCCATACCGACAAGTCAGCCACACATCAGCTGCCTTGATAGAGATGACTCCATCGCCACTGACGTCGAAATCTGGGGCCAGCTGGCTACCATAGGGGTCATAAATCACACTAAATCATTATACATATACATATACATATACATATACATTACATATATACATATACATATATATATATGTGTGGGTTACCGATGTAAATCTGAAATCTGATTTATATGTCATAGCACAAAGGCTATACATGGATTTCACAGGGCATCGAATCATCGCTGAAATCCGGTGCAACCGAGTCCATAACGAGTCCATAACGAGTGCCCTGGTCGTTGGTTTTTTGGAATTCATTTGGGAACATAATGAAAAATCCAACGCCACAAACTCCATTTTGGGCTACGTTTTATATATATATATATACCCCTGGTAAAATCACTTGAATTAGGTGTTGTTGGGTTTGCCACATCAACGATGATTTTGCACAAACGGATTTGTGTCCGGCAAGGAACAAACAACGGCTCACCCATTTGCCAAAACAAGATTCAGTTCACACGACCGAGTTGCGTTCATGTGCACGTCGAAGTTCTTCAATGGTTTCCGGCAAGAAGTATTCGTGGTAGTCCTCAGATAGAAACCCAAAAACGCACCACGTGACACGTGACCAGGTGCAAAGTGGTAGGAATTGGACCATTTTCTGGGTGGTTCCAGGATTACCCGCACAGCAAACGCATGACACGTTCCTGCACCTGGTTGCTACCATGCATCAATATCCACAGCCATCCTTCATCTCATGGCTCTGCAAAAAATACCTTGCAAATAGACATGGGAACTGTTGAACATAGGCCCACATAAAATGATGCAATTCAGGCCACAGATAGATTTCAGTTGCACAAACGTCAAGCCGCTTGCGCTTGTTGCATTTGTGTATGTTTGTTTCTGTGCCATATTGAACCGAATGATCTTCTGTCGATTTGAATATGTAAATTCGTTTGGATGAAAATTTGGTCCTGAATCTATTGCATTGATGATCTTTCTTTGTAAAAATGGCTTGCAAATGATCCAACATTGAATGTAGGGGATGTTCTAAATTTAAGCACGGTCAGATCGCACGATTGCCGAATGCAGAATCCAAATTTAGATATCATTTTTAGAAATGGTAGGCATACTGCGTTGGCTCCAAGCTGCATAGCGGAAACATTGACATAAATCTGATGAACATTCTATAGTCAAAAATTGTATGCTACATTATTATTATACAATCGGGTTGGTGGTTTCAACCCCTCTGAAAAATACTAGTCAATTGGAGTTACTATTCCCAATATATGGAAAAATAAAAGCCATGTTCCAAACCACCAACCAGCAATAGATTATGGGTCATGCGCCATGCGCATCGGGACTCTCTGAGGGGTCAAAATCCTGGGTTTCCGGCAGGGAAGCTACAGTTATATGGACCTTGGACCGTTGTTGAAGGGTTGCTGTTGCTGGTCAACACACAGGCACACTCCTCCCAAAACATCCCAAGGCTCTCTGACTTAGGACATCTTTG